TGTCCAGGAGTTCGTCCACAGAGACGTGAAAAACCTATAAGTGTCACATCGATTGTACGTTATGCCGAGCGACGAAGAAGCTTTTAATTGTCAGCTGAATTTGGTCAAAAGGAAGACTATTCTACACCAAAATACAGTAAAGTATCTTTGATTAAACTGGATTTACATTCTACTGTGATTTTGGTGAATTATTTTGACTACCGGACATATAGTTTTTTGTGATACTCTGTCAGGGACCCGGACCGATATAGACGAATTATTTTCATGATGCTTATTTTTGTATTAAGTTTTTATTTTATTTTTGTACTCGTATGTAGTCGTATGTTACTTGTATGTAACCTGTATGTAGTCGCATGTTACTCGTATGTCACCCGTATGTAGTCGCATGTAGTTGTATGTAGTCGTATGTTACTCGTATGTAGTCGTATGTGACTTGTGGGTAGTTTAGCAACGATCGGTCAAAAGGCCGCAACCGTATACCAATAGAAATTCAAGCAATAAAGTTTCGCGGTAAAATCACTTCACGCGAGACTATATTACGAAGCCAAGCCAGAAAGAATAAACAATACCCAGTAAAAACGGTTCTGTGGCCAAAAAGACCTCAACTATAAAGAGAGGCAAAGCAAAAAACACCATGCAGATGAAAGGACGCAATCTGCAAACACTGCTAGTACCGCGAAAGTATCGCTTACGTGACAAGGGATTAGTAAGGATTAACAAACCCAGTGTCATTCTTTGATTTATAGAAATCTACTTTTCCCTGCAGGAATAACTCTCCAAGGATAGCTTTTTTTTTATTTTTTTCTTCGCTACAATAAAGTTTAGGCCTTAATCGAGGGTTTTCTAGAAGGAAAACAAAATCATTGATTTGAAGCCACGAAGGCGAATGGTAAGATTAAAAGAAGTTTAACTAAAAGATTAGATGAAGATCTGAAAGAGCGTGTGGGTACATATGAAAGCAGAAGATTTGTCAGTCTTAAAGTGAAGAACTCAGCTGAGGGTAAATATTTTGAATACGCAAGAAATAAGCCTACCAAATTGTTCCTTATATGCTATACAAATACCTTCTGGAGTGTCTAAACGTCAGGTAGCCTAACGTTTAGTCCCAGAACGTAAACGTCAGGCCGTAAATTTCTCTTAAAAAAATCGTCGGAACAACAGTAATTTCAATTAATATTACAAGGAAAATGCAATAAAGACCAAAATAATACTGTTCGACAAGTCTGTAACACAAGCACGGCACTTTGAGATTTTTCGACTGCCTGACGTTTAGTCCCAGAACTAAACGTCAGGCAGTTGATGTTTTTTTCGAAAAATTGTCGGAACAAACCGTAACTTCAGTTAATACGACAAGGCAAATGCAATAAAGGACGAAAAAATACTGTTCGACAAGTTTGTATAGTCACAAGCACGGCACTTTGAGATTTTTCGACTGCCTGACGTTTAGTCCCAGAACTAAACGTCGGGCAGTCGACTTTTTTTGTGAAAGGTCGTCGAAACAACTTTAATTTCAATTGATAGCACAAGAGAAATGGAATAAAGACCGAAATAAGGGTCTTGTCAAAAATTAGCAGGGGGAGGGGAGGTGGAAATTGAAAAGTGGGTACTGGGAATAGGGTGACCAACCATACTGGGGAAGTGAAATTTTCTAACCAATTATTATTATCATTAACTTCCTATCAAATATCCTAACCATTATCCTTTCAAAATGAAGAAACAATGGTCTAATTATAGGCTGCTGGACAATGTAAATTGTTGTAGTAATGGTTGAAGGGGGACAGTCTGATACAGGGAGGGTTAGAAAATTTCACTTCCACAACTCTAGTATGTCTGTATTTTTCAAAAATTTGACTGCCTAACGTTTAGTTCTGGACTAAAAGTCAAAAAATCTCAAAGTGCCGTGCTTGTGTTATAAACCTGTCGAACAGTATTATTTTGGTCTTTATTGTATTTCCCCTTGTTGCATTAATATTACTGTTCCGACGATTTTTTAGGAAAAAATTAGACTGCCTGACGTTTAGTTCTGCTTTCATACTTTTTGAAATACGAAACGGTTTTCATGACAATCACAAAATAGACGGCACTTCACGAGCCAATTACAACTAATTAGATGAGAGTGTTATTGATCCTTGAATTACTAGTTTGCTTTTATCTTTTGAATGAAAAACAACTCTTTATAAGTATAAATTATCAATCTAAACAATTAATATGTCTAAACGATAAACTCCAAGAGCGTCATACACCACACGTTTTAAATTGATCGTAATTGCCAGTGTCAAGAACTCAAACAGGACAACATAAGATGGCGGCTCACACACGAAGTGTCCGTTTAGTCAGGAAAACCGCTTACATACATGTAATAATTGCGTGCTCATGCAGTATGACACACCTTCCTAGCCTCTTAGTGTTTTGGGGTGTGTAGATTGATCAAATAACAATATAAAATGTAACAAGGAACGTCACTAAAAGTCTTGAAGTGTTGATGTTTTTTTCTTTGCTTCTGTTTGAAGTTTCCTTGAAATAGACTCAACAAGTCTCAATAAGTCTCAATAAGGGAGTTGACCTTCCTGGTAGATCTTCTAGGTCAGGTGGTTTCTCAGCAAACTCGGTAGCACTATCATCTAACACATCCATTGCAGAGTCTCTGGCAGTTCTGGTTGCTCGTTGTCGTCCAGCAACTGATCTAGATTTGGAGTAATGTTCTCAGAAGTGTTGTCAGACTTGGTAGGTGGGCTGTGAGTACTTAGCAGCTGATCTCTGTGTCGGCACTGTCGGGATACCTGTGTTAATAAAGTCATGTGACGTGTCTTAGCCAAGATGGCTACCAGCTAGGTTGTAGCTTGTTTTTCTAGCTTAGTTCATCTGGATCCATAGACTTCAGAAGTGGGATTCATTGAATTATGGCAACCTTCAAAATAGTCCCACCTGAAAATTTCAACTTTTCTAAGCCTGATGAGTGGCTAAACTGGCAACAGCGATTCAAGCGATTTCATGTGGCTTCTGGCCTTTCAAAGAAAGATAGACCGAGCCAAATAAACACGCTGATATACTCTGTGGGGAATAGAGCGGACAATATCCTTCGTGCCTTCACACTGACAAAGGAAGAGGAGAAGAAATACAATCCAATAATCGAAAAATTCGAAGCTCATTTCGTAAAGAAGAGGAATGTAATCTCCGAGCGATCAAAGTTTAATCAAAGGTCCCAACAGCCTATAGTCTATAGTCTATAGAGCATTGCGCCCTATAGAGCCCTCACAGAGAAGATGATCAGAGATCGATCGTAGTTGGCCTCCAAGATGAAAAATTAGCCTAAAAACTTCAAATGGATTCACAACTGACCTTAGAAAAAACTGTTAACCAAACTAGACAGAGTGAAGCAGTAAACAAGCAGCAAACCGTGGTACGAGCACAGAGTGCAGCACCTGAAGTTGAGAACCCAAAAGTGGATGTTATCAACCGACAAAGAAGAAAACAAAACAAGTCAAAACGAACAACTTGGATAAAACAACTGTGAACACAGATACGACCTTTGGTAGATGTGGACATAGTACACACCCCCAAAAAAGTGTTCAGCCAAAGATGCGACCTGCCATCAGTGAAAGAAAAAGAGAAACTTCAAAGAAATGTGCAGATCCCATAAGAAAGTTGACAACATATCTGATGAGGAAGAGTCTGTAGATGAATTCCTTGGCTCCACAGCAATAGAGGAGCTAAACGAAGACAATGACTGGAAAGTGCAGTTAAGCTAGAGAATGCACTCACCACATTCAAGTTAGACACCGGAGCTGATGCAAATGTAGTCCCAGAAAGTGTGCACGAGAAAACTGGTAAGCATCTAAAGAAAACAGATACCAAATTGACTTGTCTAGGACAGACAAATCAACAAGTCCAGACAAATCAACAAAACAGGTCTCCGTTGTCAGTGGTTTAAAGACTCCACTGCTTGAACAAACCGCCATTCAAGCATTGAAACTTCTTACCAGAGTAGAAAATGTGAGCTCACCACACGCTACTACTTTTGAAAAATACTTAGACCTGTTCCATGGACTGGGAAAATTATCTGGTGAATACCACATCCAAAGGATAAAGTGCAACCTTATGAAGTGCACACTTCCAGAAGAATTGACCTTGAGTTACAGCCGTTACGGATAACACGTAGGGAGTCGAAAGAAAAATCATACTGGATTCATGCATTTTACAGATGTCAATCATAAACATTTCCATGACTACCATTGGATAGCTCCTCCCCCAACATGAATTGGTTTTCCTCGAATATCGACGAAACTAGCCAAGAATGGTCAACATGGTCAAAGCGTTTTCAAATTCTAGCACTTTGTGTGTTAGTGAAATCAAATACACTTAATGTCAGAGAGCAGCTCGGGAAATCGTGCTATCAAAGGTCTAATAATCAGGATATCTGCGGCTATATGCAAGAAATACCAACATGAGTCGATTTAGAGCATTCATTACTGCCCGAATGATGGGAGCTATAAAATGGAGTATTTATTTAAACATTTGTACTCTTGGACCTTTAGCATTCTCAAATACGACCTAATATATAGAGACATAGATAAACAGATACACAATTGATTGGAAAAAAAGATAGAACTAAAGTCAGACACCTGTGGGTAGCCCGACCAAATAGCTATGCAAATAAGCAAAATATCAAAAAAAACCTCCATAGTTTTTAAAAGCTCAAAACTGTACAAAATGAGGATGAAAACATTAATACTTTCCCAAAGTTAACCTTTTTTAAATGGGTTTTTGATTAATGACATATTGAATATATTGTATATCAATACAACAAAATACACAGTAATTTGCGCAAAACAAATTCCTTGCCTGACGCTAAATACACGACAAATTTCCAATTTTATAAATAACAATTTAATAATAAATTGTTTTCCTTAAATAAGTATCTATAAATGTAATCTCTGACAAGTCTCTAGCATATTACCTTTCCCTGCAGTACCAATATCATTAACATATCACTTACAAACCTTGAGAGCATTATCAGGGCCATTTGTTATCATTAATGGCTGCGATGACAGGAACTTCATACCATGAACAGCACCATTATGCGCATTTTGCAATGTTCCTTTTAACTGATTGGTTTCAAGATCCCATAATGCAACATGCCCTACTGTACTTGCAGAGGCCATGATAGGATTGCCATCTAAAGGAAAGAAAAATGGAGGCACAAACAGTGAAATCAGACGTGAATGAACTCTTTCAAAGCCACTCAGAACTAGCCTCCATATCAGGCATTTTTACTTTTTGGTTTCAAGGTAAGCGCTAACAAGTGCTTTTACTTTTGATGCCAAATCAGCATGGATCAGCTCCTCATTTTGGAACAAAATCGATTCATAGCTTGTGAGCTAAAAAATACATAAACAAGACCTCCATCATACATGTAGTTTTTTTAATGATTGAAATTTTGATTTGAGTATTAAAATGCATCCCTAAAATATGTTCAATCAGAATGTGTGATCAGTGATAAGGACCTGCAGTTAGTAGTACATTCAATGCTGACCTACAGGAAGTTCTTGCAACAACGTTTATATACTACGTTACATGCCAAGTTGAAACAAAAGGTGTGAACTACAGCTGGATGCATGAGGCAACAAAAGTCATGACAAAATCATAAATGGCAGCATTTCATGGAACCCATTATAAGAGTCATTGTCCGAGAAAACCAGGCAGGGTCAAAAGATGAGGGTCGCCCAATTTAACTTAAACTTATACCATTTAATTTATATTTTATTTATATTTATATTTTTAATAAGCTTCCTATAAAAATAAGAATGGCCTAGGCCGAATATGAGTGTCAATACCCCCTCCGTATTGGCACAAAATCTACTTAGAGTCTCACAAAATTTAGGTCAACTTTGTGATGCCGTAAAATCATAAATACATAACTAACAAGTCTCTTATTTTCTGTGAATTATCTAGATGTCAAAAACTCATACATAATTTATGAGTTATTAGGCCAATAGAATCAGCCTATTTGGTCACATGCATGGACCTTTATATATGATAAAACACTGGGTGACCTTTATCATATATAAAGGTCTGTGACCCTGCCAAAGGTCTCAGGTTTGATAACTGATCATTGACCAATGCAGGATGTCAACCGATTGCAGTAAACAGCCAACAGCGGTTCTATTTTACTTATGTGGGATGACAAGAGTGCTTTGTGAAGTGATTCGCACATGATCAGTTTGCCCCATTTATCTCAAAACATATTTTTACGKCAATTTCTCCAAGAATTTTAACGGATTTGAGTTTCAAATTTAATGTTGGAGTTTTTGAAGCTGTTTAAAACACTCAAGATCATGTTTTATCAGGTAATCGATTTCTCTTGTAATCGACAAGGAGCTCATTGAGAGAAATGTGAGGACTGGGCCCAGTATGCTAATGAGTTGTATACAATGTGTGTCAAGGGATTGTGTAATCAATGTGGTCCGAGCTTTGATTGACTTTTGAACTTTAGAATTTGGCTGTGTTGTGTTAGTTTATGAACTCGAGGGAACAGTAGGAATAAAGATTCGGCTCGAGTCTTTATACCTGATAAAACACTCTCTCTCGTGTTTTAAACTATACAAACCACACAAATGGACACACTTTCCAACTCTGTAGTCCACAACACAAATCATATAGTGAAGCCGGGGGATAAAGCCCTCCTTTTTCACCTTTCTTGCGAACTTCCACAACAAACTTTGCCAACCAGTAGTTTAGTTCGGCAGCAGTAGTTTTCGAAAAAGGAAAAAAACGGCTTAAAATTATGGACTGCACCCTCCCCTCCCCTCCCCTCCGATATTTCGCACGGCTCAGTTAACGTAGTTGTTGTGTAATCATTTGTAGCCTTATTTTGGCTCTCTACATTCTCACTTTCGAAAATGCTCTGAAGCAAGTCCAAATCGTGCATATCACTTTGCTGTGAAAATGTTTGCTGCGTCAAACCCACCAAGCTAAAACAATCATCTTCGTCGCTGTACATGTCCATGTTTCCTCGACTAACTTTTCTCTTACGAAACATTGCCGTTTAGATTAGAATAAACAAGCATGAAAAGTCAATGAAACATTATTTGCTTTGAAATTTGGCCCTCGGGCTTTATATGGCTTATTGCCTCCATTCGTGGTATTTTTAAAACTCTTACAAATATTAATAGGAGGGTGTCTTTGTACGATGTAATCCATTAAAGCGTGTAACTTCTTATATCTCAGAAATAAAATGCAATCAAAGTTGCTAAATTTGCATAAATCATGATTCATTTTTATGTTAATTAGTTCCCAAGAAAAAGCGAATTTCGTCATCAAGGGGAGAAATTTTCTTTTAATAGTCTGCTGAACACTTCTATGTGAAAACCTTTTGGAACTGTACTTTATTCAAAAGGGACTAATTATAAGTGAATATAAAAACACTAAATGGTAGTCATTATCATCATCATCATCCGAGACAGGTCTGCTTCCTCTAATATTGCTGCCTCAATGAAGACTCGATGTCATCCTCCATTAGCTCATCATCTAGATGTGTAATTAAAAGGTGGATCACAACTAATGAAACGCAAATTTTGAAATTTTTTAACTCGCTTCGCAAAAGTATTTAGTAAAACGTGCTAAAATTTTGATATAACATGCAGTAATTATTGCAGTTTTTGACAGTTTTCAGTATTTAGTAATTTAGAGGCTGGTTTTAAATAATATACAGCGCATTTTCAAACAGTGATAATTCCAGTTCTCTTTCACCATACTCCACATTATGACCTTATAATGCGTATCTCCTTTGCGCATGCGCAATAAGCCACGTTTCAAAGTACCATTGTTATGCAAATTAAAGTATATAAAATGCAGTGACCAGCAAGACTCGTCCTCTTCTTCTTTCGTGCTGGCGCACTGAGGTAAGCCCACGTTTCTTCGGCCGTCTTTTGGTTTTTGCTTTATAAGGCCGTTATTGCCTCTCAGATTATACTGAGACGTTCTTTTTTCTGTGTTTTATATTTCAAACAGTGTTTTGACGATAAAGTACCGAATAAGACCAGTATGTCCACTTCCACGTGCGTAAACGACCAACATAACGAAGAAGAATCGTTGTTGGAGCCCGAAGGGTTTCCCGACGCTCATTCACAGCATGCATCCGTCGCTCCGTCTGACCATGCAGAATATCTAGATAATCTCAAACATCACCTTGGGATAGATACCATGCGAGAAGCAATAGAGAATTTGACCTCTACTCTTGATAGGAGTACGAGTAAAAGACGCTCGCGGCACGAGGCTGGTTCAGCTCGTAAAAGAAGCCGTGAAGGTGAGGGTTTCGATCCCACCGAAGCTTTAGAGTCGCTTCATTCATCTTCAAGTAGCGAGCAAGGCGTCAGTGACGCGGTCGAGGAGGATGATTTGCCTCCTTCAATATTCGACGAAAATGAGTCGAAGGGTCCAGAGGTGTCTGAGGCTTTGGCTAAGAGAGTCAACGAAGCTTTTACCGTTAAGCCTTTGGAGGGTAAGATGAAATTGTTGATGGACAAGTACAAAACACCCTCAAATTGTGAACTCATGTGTGTTCCAAGAGTAAATACCACGTTGTGGAATGAACTACCAAGAAAAGCACATCAAATTGACCTGGGACTCCAGGAAGCTCAAAAAGCTATTGTTAAGACAGGCCAAATAGTCGTGCAAATAACCGACGATATGCTCAAGGCTAAGAAAAACAAAGAGCATTTAAAGCCATCAAAGTATATTGGCCTGCTCTCAGACGCTATTAATTTTCTCGGACACGCGGGTTTCCAGACGTCTTTAAAGCGAAGAGAGCTCCTGAAACCGGAACTAAGCAAGAATTTTCAATCTCTGTGCTCCGCGACAGTTCCCATAACAAGTCTATTGTTTGGAGACGACCTTTCTAAGTTTGTGGACGATATAACGAAGGCTAACAAAGTCGCTACAAAGATTACACAGTCTACTGAGTCTCGCCGAGGCCGCAACCGTGGTTCTGGGCGCCGTTCTAAGTTCTCTGGTAGCTACAATAATAACTATGGCTATAATTCAGGTTCTCGTTTTTTACGGCACAGAACCTCGTCAACTTGGACGAGGGGACAACAACGAGAGACACAACAAAGGTACAACCGAAGCAAGAACTCATCAAAATCGGAAAACACCCAAGACAAATAAACAATGTGAGTTTAATTTGTAATGTGGGTAATCTAGCTACTAAAGTGAATGAATGGTCTAANTTTCGTCGTGAATATTACGCTTCAAATTGGTAGCGCATCGGTAGCGCATGCGTTGCAGTCTCAGTTTCCATGGGGATGTCGAAGTAAATCAATCAGCGCTTTCTTTTCATTCATGACATGTATTGTTTCGTATGTCATTCGGCCTCGTGGTCTTATCGCGATATCTAAGTCACGTTATAGCTACTGTGACCTGGTTTGTGACCAAGAAAAGCAATGTGATCAAGAAAATGAAGGAAACCAACCCTAGAACGCTGATCTCAAAGCTCTTACTACTTCTTGAATCATTCAAACGATCAAAATATTACTCAAAGTTATAATACTTAGAAAACTGCAAAGACTGTACCGTTTCTATTGTTTATTATTATCTCTGGAGCTACTACGAAACTATGATATAACATAACCTTTCAGGTCAAATTTACATATTTCGAATATTTGCATATTTTGAATAATCTAGACGCTCTTAGAGCGTAAAGTCGGGCTAGCTATTTTTGAAAACTGAGAAAGTCAAGGTACTTAAGTTAATTAATTAGAGTTCAGTTCGGTAAAAAATTGTGATGTAGTAAATAGCTTAGGGTTGTCCTGACTTATTTCAAACAAAGACTGTATCGTGAAAATGAAATACTTATAGCTCAATGGCGGCAGCTGACCCATTGTCGCATCTACAGGAAGCCCACGTAAGCGATCAATGATCATCTAGTTTAAAGTGAATCATGATTTATGCAAATTTAGCAACTTTGATCGAATTTTATTTCTGAGATTCCATGTCCGCTTTATGGACAACAAATTCAAAACAAATTCTAGGATTCAATTTCGAGTTAAGGCAGTCATTAATTATTTGATGTGTATTACTGCAGGTTACTTGTTTTAGCGAGTTCCAAAATGTCTTTATAAGTCATCTGACTTTATAGTAAATATACAGTATGACGAGGCATTCTGCTTTATTGTTCTC